CTTTTTGAGCAAAGAAGTGCCCCTAACTTGACCATAGACTTTGGACACACTGTCCTAATAGCAGTATATAAATAGCAGAAAATAAACTTAAAGAGATTGTTGAACCTTGCCAAGTTGGGGTAAGACAGTCTTTCAATTTTCTGAGATGGTCTATCAGATACTCTAGGCCTTAGCCAAAGTTGGTTGCCTGGAGGTTACTTTGAGACCCTGGATGACTGTCCAGGTAGCCTGATGTTTCTGTCTTTGCTTGCTCATTTAGGAAGTAGCACACTTGCACTTCCTGCTTATCCTAGTAATGTTATTTTCCTTCTCAGGTCTTTGATGAGGTTGAAGACTAGACTGTCATAGCTAATATCTTCTCTTCTCTTATATAGAAAATACAGGTACAAGACTTAGACTTTCCAGATTAGGACAACTATCGGAGTAATCTCTGTTATATGCCTTTAACCCTGGGACTGGACTTGTAGAATGTGTCTATTGTTCAGTGTTACTCTTGCTCATTGTAGGTCTTAATTTGTGTATGTTTTTACCTTTCCTTCTCCTGGAATATGTTTGATATTTATTATCATTGTATATAGTTTTTGTATCAGGCTTAAAACCTTCTTTTGACAAAAGGGGAATGTGGTGGCATCTTGTCTTGCCAGTGAACTTGTAGCCATACCTTTTGGGAGTGATTTCAGGTGCAGATCTGGTCCATTATAAAATAGAGGAGGGGCTGGCTCACGTTCTCTTGTGCTTTGGAGAGCATCGGAAGGGCAGAGACTGCATCTTCTGGAGCAGGAAGACCATGGTGGTTACTCTTATCTGTGTAAGTGCTTCCTTGATAAATACCTATTATCATTTATCTTGGGTCTGATGGACTCATCTAAACCCCTTCAATGGGGTATATAGATCTCAACAGAGGGATCTCAAATCACTGAAAGGCACTTAAGAAACTGCTCAACATCCTTAGCCATTAGGGAAATGAAAATCAAAAAAACAACTCTGAGTACCATCTTACACCTGTCAGAATGGCTAAAATCAAAAACATCAACAATAGTTTATGCTGGATAGGATGTGGAGAAAGGAAAGGGTGGGAGTGCAAACTTGTACAGCCAATTTGGAAATCAGTATAGTGGTTTCTCAGGAAAATGGGAATCAGTCTACCACAAGATCCAGCAATTCCACTCTTAGTCATATACCCAAAAGAAGCACATTCATACAACAAGGACATCTGTTCAACTATGTTCATAGCAGCAGCATTCTAGCCAGAACCTGGAAACAACCTAGATGCCCCCCTCAACCAAATAATGGATAAAGAAAATGTGGTACATTACACAATGGAGTACTACTCAGCTGGAAGGGGGCGGGGACAATGAAACCTTGAAATTCGAAGGCAAATGGATAGAACTAGAAGAAACCATCCTGAGTGAGGTAACCCAGATACAGAAAGAAAAATATGGTATGTACACACTCATAACTGGATTTTAGACATAGAGCAAAGTAGAACCAGCCTACAATCCACACCTTCAGAGAAGTTAGGAAACAAGGAGCACCCTAAGAGAGACATACATGGACCCCACCACTCTTAAGAAGGGGAAAGGGACAAGATTTCCTGAGTAAATTGGGATGAGTTAGGGGGAGGGTAGGAGAAATAGGAGAGGAGAAGTGGAGGGGAAGGAGAAATGAGGGATCAAAAAGCCTGAGTTGGAGAAAGAACAGAGAAGGAGAACAAGGAAAGAGACACCTTAATAGAGGGAGCCATTATGGGCTCAATGAGAAATCTGGCACTAGGGAAATCTTCAGGGACCCAGAAGGATGAGCCCAACTAAGAATATAAGCAATAGTGGAGAGGCTACTTTAATTGCCTTTCTCCTATAATGAGATTGATGACTACCTTAAATGCCATCCTAGGGCCTTCAGCCAGTAGCTGATGGAAGCAAAAGCAGAGATTCATAGCTAAGCACTGAGGCAAACTCCTGGAATCCAGTTGTTCAGAGGGAGTAGTGAAGAACATAGGTGTCAAGACCAGGCTGGGGAAACCCACAAAAAATAGCTGACCTGAACAAGGAGGTGCTCATGAACCCCACTCTGACAGCTTGGGAACCAACATAAGACAGACCCAGGCCCCCTGAATGTGGGTGTCATTTGGGGCCCTGGACAGTCTATGAGGCCTCTGGCAGTGGAACCAGTATTTATCCCTATTGCACAAATGGGCTTTGGATGCCCATTCCCCATGGAGGGATACTCTCTCAGCCTAGATGCATGTGGAAGGGCCTAGGCCCTGCTCCAAATGATGTGACAGACTTTGATCATCCCTCAAGGGATGCCTCACCCTCCAAGGAGTGGATAGAGGTTGTGATGCGGGTTGTGATGGGAGTTGGTGAGGAAGTGGAAGGGCAGGAGGGAGAGGGAACCTAAATAAGAATGTTATTAATTTAAATAAAAATTAATAAAAAATAACAAACAATGTGGTGGAATTGTCCTTGTGAATTTAAGTCCATGACTAAGAAAAGCCAATACCTAAGATCCAGTCTAGTGACTATCAACACTGGGGTTAGTAAATGAATGACATACAGCAGCAAATAGAATGTGCATATGACAATTGAAATATCTAGGAAGAGGGGAAAGAATTCCATAATGAAATCCACCGGGGCAATGTCTGTGTTAGATATTTGTTTTCTGTTGTTTGTTTTTGAGCCCCCATGTAAATCCACAGAGACTGTTGCAGCATGCACAGGACCTGCAAGGGTCTGCACCAGATGGGATCCTGGAGCTGGAAGAAGTGGGCACATGCCCCCACCCCTAACCCACATGTGATCTCCAATTGATAGTATCTTGTAAATGAAAAACATTACTTTTCTCCAAGGGAGTCTCAACGGGGAAATAAACCACTTACTTTTAAGGATATGTTCCATACCCTGCCATTGATAGATGACCACACAAAATGTAGTGAACCTAAATTTGGAGGTTTTTTTCCTCTCTCATAAAGTTAAGTCTAGGCTGTAGTGATATGTAAAGTAAAGCCTTTATGTCTGGTTTTGAGTGAAATGTTTCAGCAAAACCTTTGCTATGTTTGTGTTAATCAGTAGAGGCTGAGAAATAGATGCCTGTTTTGAAACAGGAGACATAAAGGGTGTGGATCTGAATGGGAAGGGAGGTAGAGAGGAACTGGGAGTAGTGTCAGGGGAATCTGTAATCACAAGGTAATGTATGAAAAATCTATTTTCATTGAAGAAAAAAAACTTAATTACAGTAAAAAGGAAAAGAAATGACAAAGAAAGTACATGTGGCCAGTGTGCTGGTGCATGACTCAATCCCAGAACTCTGACAACTGATGAGTTTGAAGGTATATAGGTCTACACAGGAATTCCAGACCAGCCAGGCTACATAGAGAGATTCAGTATCAAAACAATTTGCCTGTGTATATTGTGGGGCATGTGATATATGTCGCAAGGTATGTGATGTATGTATATATTTATATGAACGATCAGAAAAACTAATACAATTATCCTAGTTCTCTGATGCCAGAATCAAAGTAACAGGTTTGTACTTGGTGGGATGATTAAGAGAGATTTCTGTGTCTTTGTAGGGAGTTGTGTGTGTATAAATACAAGAATTGATTGAGGCCATGCGCCACTCCAGGAGAGACACAGAGGAAATAGCTTCTGAGCTGGGAAAGACATAGTAGAAGCCTCCACATGTGGCTTCTACATTGAATCTCTTAGAAGAGAAAGTGAGAAGTAGCCTTGGACACATTGGCACAGGAGACCACTTTCTAAATATAACACCAGTAGCACAGACACTGAGAGCAACAGTTAATAAATGGGACCTCCTGAAACTGAGAAGCTTCTGTAAAGCAAAGGACACAGTAAATAAGACAGCAGCCTACAAAATAGCAACCCTATAACTGATAGAAGTCTGACCTCCAAAATATACAAAGAACTTAAGAAACTCAACATCAAGAGACCAAATAAGCCAATAAAAAATGGGGTACAGATCTAAACAGAAAACTCTCAACAGATGAATCTCAAATGGGAGGAAGACACTTAGGAAAATGCTCAATAACCTTAATCATCAGGGAAATGCAAACCAAAAGGACTCTGAGATACCATCTTACACCTGCCAGAATGGCTAAGATCCAAAACACTAATGAAAGGTTATGCTGGAGAGGATGTGGAGAAAGGGGAACACTTCTCCATTGCTGACAGGAGTGCAAACTTGTACTGCTGATTTGGAAATCGGTATGGCTATTTCTAAGGAAAATGGGAATCAATCGACCTCAAGACCCAGCAATTCTACTCTTAGGCATATACCCAAAGGATTCATACTCACACCACACAGACACTTGCTCAGCTCTGTTCATAGCAGCATTATTCGTAATAGCCAGAACCTGGAAACAACCTAGAGCCCCTCAACTGAACAATGGATAAGGAAAATATGGTGCATTTGCCCAATGGATGGAGTACTACTCAGTGGTTAAAAACAAACAAACAAAAAAAATGACATCTTGAAATTTTCAGGCAAATGGATAGACTCAGAAAAACCCATCCTTAGTGAGGTAACCCAGACCCAGAAAGACAAATATAATATTTACTTACTCATAAGTGGATATTATACATAAAGCAAAAGACAACCAGCCTACAGGCCACAATCCCAGAGAACTTTTGTAACAAAGAGGACCCTAAGAGAGACATACATGGATCTGCCTAGGAAGAGGAAATAGACAAAACCTACTGAGTAAATTAGGAGCGTGGGGGATAGGAGATAGGGTGGAAGGGGAGATCGTAGGAGGGAAGGGGGGTGGAGAAAATGTGTAGCTCAATAAAAAGTAAAAATAAAAAGATTGAACTGGAAACTGAAGATTTACACACTTGCTGTGCATAAGTCCTGGCACAAGTTTGTAAAAAGAGAATAGTCTTAGGCTTGCTGTCTTTCCAAAAGGGTTTCTTGACCTTTGATTAGGAGCAGCAGTACTGCCAAGCACACAGCTTGATTCTGCTACAATTCCTCTCCCACAGGAGAAGCTCCAGGCTGCTATGGAGATGCAAATGGCAAACAAGAAAAAATGTGATGAATGGGAATGTGACCTGCAAAAGGAGAGAACTTTCTGGGAGGCAAGTGTGGACCCTTACTGAGGGAGTTAGCCTGATGCAAGGGAGGGATCTGGGCAAGAAGCTCCCTGACTCTTCATTCCCTGGTAGTTGATGAGGCCAAGGGGCCTTGATTAGTCCTCTCTACCTGTTCCCTTGGAGCTGGGGCTGCACAGTGGGTGCATCACAACTGAGCCTGGCTGTGTGAGGAGCTGACACCATGGAGGGGCCTGGTGAGAATGGGCATTGAGTCCTCGGTCTTACCCCTGTGGTGTTTTCTAGAACTATGACTGTTGGGAAAGATGATTGGAAACTGTCACAGTTCTGTCCTTGGGTGTGTCTTCTCTCAGATGTTCAGAAGTAGCATGAAGAGTATTGCAGGAAGGAATAGGAGTCTGGGCAGCTGTGTGAAAACTGAGCCACACCCAGGCATCCCACTTTGGCTCAGGTGGCCTTGGTAAAGGTGACCTAATATGTCTGTTTTGGAATGTCATGGAAAGACACTGAAAGGAGATACATGCTTCCCTAAGATTCCCTTCCCTCCTCAAGCTCAGTTCCCTGTGAGAAGTCCCCACCACAACAATGATTTTCTGTCCTCCAGTCCCATCAGGACAGTCTGAATTCCTCTCCCCTTTCTTATCCCTCAAGACCCAAATACAGAGTGATGTAGAAAATGTTCAGATGGAGTTTAAAAGATTGCGGGGATTCTTGGACTCCAAGGAGAAGAATGAGGTGCAGAAGCTGATGCAAGAGAAGGAAGACGTTATGAACAGCCTGGCAGAGTCTCAAAATGAAGTGATGAAGCAGAGGGAGGCAGTGAGAGACCTCATCTCAGATGTGGAGCATCAGTTAGACTGCTCAACCATGGAAATGCTGCAGGTAAGACTGCAGGAGGTCCCAGCATCTGAGAGTCAGGAGACCTGGAAGCCTTTTTCCTCCCTTTGTGCTGCTTTGATATTCCTGGTGAAGACAGTAGGGCTGTCTGTGCCCTCCCTGAGCTCTTTCCTGAGCCAGTTTCAGAGGCTAGGGAATCATTGCATGCATGGATGGCAGGGGAAATTGCATTTTTTCAACTTTTTTTTTTAATTTGAATTAGAAACAGGATTGTTTTACAAGATGATCCCAGTTCCCTTCTTCCTCCCGTCCTCCCTACCACCCCCCAAAAAAACTAAAACCCTATCTATCACTTATCCTTTCTGCTCCCCTGGATGGTGAGGCCTTCCACAGGGTGTCATCTGAGTCTATTGTATCCTTGGGGATAGGGCCTAGGCCCACCCCTGTGTGTCTTGACTCAGGGAGTATTCCGCTATGTAGAATGGGCTCCCAAAGTCCACACCTATGGTAGGGATAAGTATTGAACTTCTATAGGAGGTCCCGTAGATTTCCGAGGATACATCACTGAAACCCATGTTCCTGCCGTCTGGATCAGTCCCGTGCTGGTATTCCAGCTAACAGTCTGGGGAGCAAGAGTTCCCCGATGTTCAGGCCAGCTGTTTCTGTG